CCATAAAAATGTCCTTCTTGACTTCACATATTTGTTTGTTGGAAGTATTCGGCTCTTAACTCTAGAGTATTTCCTTTTTCTATTATGTGATACGGGCAAAGGAATTAGAACTTATCACCTTTGCCCGATATGATACACAAATGATGAAGGTATCAATAACAATGCAATCATGTCAGTTTACTAAACTTGATGATTAAGTTAATTATATAAAGAAAAGCATACTCACATTATAAATAGTTTAATGTGTGGTGTGGTAAGCTGACTATCTGACAGAAGCCAAAGCAAATCTTTTCATTTAATTGCCTCTATCTTGTCTTTCTTAACCACAACATTTGAATCCATTTTTAAATCTTTGAATTTGAATAATGAATCATATGTTGTTAAGATCATTTGTTGGTGCGGAGCTTACGAGGGTTCTAGAAGTTTTGGAAGATTCGATGAGGGAAGCTACTATATAATAAAAAGGCAAGAAATAGTTAATTAAAAACAAATGTTAGAAAAGCTGCCACATAATGAAAATGCATGAAATTCCATACCTTTGTTTGAACCATATTCATAATTCTCTTTAGCCATCGTATAAAATTGCCAACAGCTTCAACCATAGTCTTTACCTCTTAGTGGGGAATGAGACTAATGCGTTTAGCACTTTTAGATCTTCAATTACCACTCTTACTTGATTATCTTGAATTTGTTTATGGTGGATGGGTGACCCCAAGTTGTAAACACTGCCACGAGTGACTAAGCATCTATCAAAATCTTCTAGAAACATCTCACAAGGTTCACCAATGTTGTCACCAGAAGGACCCTCTGACACACATTTAAGAACATTACTCCCTTTTGTGCTATAAAATCTAGGAAATGTATGAACTAGTTTAGTAGTTGTCTTCTATGGTGAGCTCATCATGCTCATCATCTCCTCCTTTATTTACACCTTTATTTCTAAAAGCTAAGGTGTTAATGAAGCTTCAAACTCATCCTTAGTCTGCTGCCTCATAATACATATCACCGTATCAAGCTCTTGTTTAGTCACTATACCTCTTGATAAGTCAGGGTGTACATGTGCTCTAAACTAGTCTCTTATATGCACACCATGTCCAATGCCCCTCACACGATTCAAATGCTTTGGTTTGCCTATTGCAACTGCCAAGATATTATTTCTACCCTTAGAATAAAGCTTCCCTGGGTTTATTGCTCCTTAAGAGCATCTTATAACATAAAAATAACAATCATAATGAATAATATAGACAGTTGTATATAAATTTAAAGGGATGAGAAATAATAATATTAGCCTTTTCTTTTCTTTTGTTGCTCTACCATCAATATATCATTAACCCTAAAAGGTGTAGGGGTATTGATTTTTTTGAAGCAATTTCTTGCCTTTTAGCTCATTTTTCTTGTTAACAAATTAAATTTTATATTTTATAGTTGAAGTAAATCTAAATAAAAGTTAAATCAATTAGAAATCAACAGACCAAAGCTTTTTCAAAAGCTTAAATCCTGATAAATTCTTTCCAAATATCTTCATTGAAGAACTGGTATGTATTGAGAGAATTGGGACGAGCCTCACCCTCTGGCACCTCGATATGGATATATTTCCTAGTAAGATCAGTCTTGAAATTTCTCCAACATGTTTCACAGTATGAAATCAACTTGCGTCGATAATCTTTACTAGAAGGAACATTATACATGAGCTACAATTAAAACATAAGATAATAATCAGTAATTTAACAATAATACATAACTACATAAATTTATGATTTAATTTACCTGAACACTTTCCTAAATTTGGTCCTTTACACGTTCTGGCATATCAGGCTAGTCCTCAAACACAATAGGGGGCTTGGTATGCAATAGGAGGCTAAGAAAACTAATAAACTTGGCCTTGTGTGGCCTTATCAGATTCCATCTCTGATTAAATTCGATTGGTAACCTACACTTAGCATTCCTACTTAATGTCAAATCTCTCAATCGTATACCACATCTACCCCTCCTCACAGACTGGCTTTGATTTGGCTCCTCACTAGGGTTACTCTGACTTAGCTCTTTATTAAGAGTAATATCACTAATGGGTTAGCCTGTAGTGGGCTAGCTTTGAGTGTTGTCACCATGTCTACTCTAATTCTTCATGTCCCTATTAATTCATATAAATGAAATTAATTAGAAAAAAATCAAAGATAAGATAATTAGAAAGAAGATCTCATAATATAAATTTAATTGAACTTACAAAACATATTTTTATTTAAAAATAAAATTCATATAAGGATATTCTCTCATATCCCTTCATGGTAATCACTTCTTGTGGCATATTCTTCATTTATTACATTCAAAATTGATAGCCTTGATATAAAGATAGGGGTTTCAAAATATCAAAGTTTGATTCATGATTATCATCCTATCAATCATTCTTTTTCGTTCGAGTACTATTGACTAATTTTTATTTGTCGAATCTGTGATATAGAAAACTAGTTTAGCTTGGTCTACTATAATAAATGGCTCATCCTCATAAGTTAGTTTTTTAAGATCAATCATTATCAATCCTAACTTATCATCACGAATACAATTGATGTTAACTCACTTGCATTTGAAAATAGAAACTCTAAAATTTGTATAATCAACCTTCTAAATCTCTTCAATAACCCTGAAATAAAACATGGCTGCTCGTTTAGGTTTATTATCTTTTGAGTTAGAGAAGTGAACATCTTTAGCCACTATCATAACCCCACTATTTTATATTGTACTCTTTTCTTCCAAGCACTTTGTATAAAAGGAATATCCATTAATATTATATGCATTTCAACATATAACATCAAAGTTAGGACCTTCTACCAACTATTTAACTGTATAAAAAATATTACTTTCATTCAAAACTTTTTATTTGAACTAAACTACAAAAGTCCTATTGTGATCTTTCAACAACATTTGTTCAATCATTCTCATTCGATAATTTTTTACCTTTAGAAGTTCTTTATGAGAAGATATATAATCTTTAACTTCATTAATATTATTTAAGATATATAAATATACTTCTTGCAATTCATTATGACTTATGCTCTTTACTGATACTCATTGTGTGCCTTAAACTAATCACTCTTCTCATGACAAAATTTAGAAAGTCCAATTGATTTTGTACTTGACAAGTAATCAGAACAAAACACCATAGCTTCTTCAGCAACATATTTTTCAACTATTGATACTTCAAGTTGATATGGATTTTTAACATACTCTTTTAATATTTTCATGTATTTTTCAACCAGGTACATCCATCCTAAATAAACAGGGACATATAATTTTATCTCCCTCATTAGATGCATTATTAAGTGAACCATAATGTCAAAAAATGTAAGAAGAAAGTGCATCTCAAGTTGGCATAATATAGTATAAGCTTCTTGTTCTAACTCTTTTAGTTTATGGGATCAACAACTTTATTGTATATAGCATTGAAAAAGAAATAAAGTTTAGTTATTGTAATTCTTAAATCTTTTTTCAATATGTCTCAAATAGCTAAAGATAATAGCTATTGCATTAAGACATAATAATCATGAAACTTTAAGCCTACCAATTTTAACTCTTTCACATATACAAGCTTTCTAATATTTGAAGAATGCATTAAAGGAAGTTTGATTCCATGTAAACACTTACAAAAAACTTATTTTCTCATACTTGCACAATGTATGAGAGGCTGAGAGACAATAAGTCCACTTATTTTCTGGTCTCGAGTGTAAGTCCTCTTGTATTCCTATTCTTTCAAATTTAATCTTACATTCACACCGTCCTTGGGCTTACTTGGTATGTTCAGAAATTTTTCAAAAATACTACCATATATGTTTTTCTCTACATACATAATATCAATATAGTGACGCATTTCATATATATTAACATTTTTTTTCATATGTTTTTTACACCAATATTCTTTTAAGTCTTATCGAAGACAATATTAATGTGTTTCACTCATTCATACACTTTGATTCCCAGTCAAAGCATCCAGAGCATGATTATGCTCTCAGTGACCATGAAAATTTTTCTTTAATTTATGATCAAGATGATCTTGTCTAAAAAACCTCTAATGGTTAAGGTAGATTGTCTTCCTTCCATGTTAAAGTTGATGGTAGTTTGTACTTTCTTCACAAATTAGACAAACTTTATGGCCTTTCATACTATAGCTAGATAAATTCTCATATGAAAAAAAATATTTATAGTACAAAAGATTATAACATATAACTTCAAATTCTCCTTCTAATTTGCATCAAACACTTCCACATCTTCCTCTCATAACACTTTCAAGTCTTCAATTAGAGGTCTTAGATAAATATCAATGCCATTTTTAGGTTGTTTTAGTCCTAAAATCAACATAAATAGCATATTGTACTTTTGTTTCATACATAGTCGACGTTATAAGTTGTAAATCACCAAAAGAATAAGCCATGTACTATGTATACTATTAAGACTACTATAAGGATTCATTCCATTATGATCTAGTTTGACTTGGTTCAATGTGTTCGATTTTGATTGTTTTGATCATAATTAACACAAGATCCTTCCTAAATTGACATTTTGTTGTAGACACAAGAGCTTTTAGAATTAAACAAATTCAAATTAACTTGGGTGACAAAATTTAACACCTTTAAGTATATTGTTGAAAATTCTATTCATAACTTTTATATATAAAGCAAATCTGACTATAAAAAATTTGTCATTGATACTTCTCAAAAAATTAGTTTTTACAACTTAAAAATATTAATAGAAGAGAAAAAACAATATACAATACTTATTATATCATTATTATTATTTGAAAGTATTTAAATATCTTTATTGTTTTTCTTTTTTGTGAACGTATGTATTATTATTTTAAAATAAAAACACTAATATCATTTGACATTTATATTATCATTATTATTTAAGTCGATACCAACCACCAAGGCTGGGTTGCCCGGTGAAATGTCACCATTTAGTGGGCCTTTCAGCCCAATAAAGAAAGAGGCTGTATTGGTTTGGGTCAGAGTTCTCTGTATCTCTAATGTGCTTAGGGTTTTGACTTAACTTCCCTTGTCTGAGTAGCGTTCGAGGGTTTTATCATTCAACTGGTGGAAGAGTGAACTCCAATCGACAATCTTCATGGATAATTCATCTCTTGGTTCTGCTGAATTGCAGCAATTTATCGCTGTAAGTCTTCGATTCCTTTTTCATCTTTCGTACCGTGCTATTTAATTTCTATGAAACTTGATGCAGCTGAATCAAAGAAAGAGCAGAGTGAATGTCGAGATTTTTTTTTTTTTATGGATTTGTTTCCTAGGGGAGTCGTAATTACTGTTATTTGTGGTAGATTTGATTCGGTGGACTTTTTCCATTCTTGCGAACCTCTCCTTTTATTTTGTTCTTTTTGGGTCTCTTGCTCCTTTGAGCGAATTACTTGTGTGGTGTCCCAGTATACTGGATTCATCGTATACAAATTCACACGCATACCACAAGAATGTTGTTGTAGTTCCACGAATTTTCTAGTTATTTGACCATGCCGAGCAGGGATGTCTAATGCGGGCAAAGTTATTTGGTTTTCGGGATCTATGTTATCTTATTTTTATGGATTGTTGATCGCCACAATAGCTCCTCGGTTGAGCGTGGAAGTCTTGAACTCAGTCGTTTGCATACTAAATGATAAATAGGAAAGTGGGGCTGCGCAGTAGGTATATCGGGGATAATTGTAATAACAAGGTGTGAAGTGAGAACTGTATAGAAAGGCAACATGGTGGCCCTGTAAATTTAGGCTCTCCTTTTGGGTCAAAACCTGTACTGTACCTTGCCTGCATGTTCAGTTATTTAACCTGTCGTGTTTATGCTAGTTTTATGGTTTTATACTTTCAACCATGAAAAGGAAAACTTTAAGTTAGTGAAAGTAAAATTACATGTAGTAATGTAATTTCTACTAGGATAAGGCTTGTTGTTGCTTTAAAAGAACCGAAAACTAGATGCAACAAAAATGAATTGTGGTAGGGAACATCTTTTGTAAATTAGATAGTGTAAGTTGTAGCCTGTACTGCTACTCTTTGAGCCATCTTCCTGAGTAACGTTTTGCAGTTTCAACTATCCTTCCTTTAACCGTTATTAATACAAACTAGAATGTAGTTTTCATGTCTTCTACAGGATCTGAGATAAGCTGCACTATTCATGACTTTTAAATAGTACTGTTTGATATATTGATGAATTGATATGATTTATTGTTCCACCTTATCATAGGCATTAGGCATTGCCTCCTTTTCTTGGCATTCCTTTCTTACTGTGAAAATGCGAGATGTTTCTCCGTAATCTTTCTGTATAAGAAATGAGAAAATTTATCCAGGCGTGATTGAAAAGTAATATGGTATATTCCATACGTTAACTTTGTTCTCCAATGCAGCAAGAGAAGGAAAGAGCGATGGTTAATGAAATGGTGGCTAAGCTGACTAGTGCTTGCTGGGATAAATGCATCACGGGCACCCCTGGAAGCAAGTTCAGTTCAAGTGAATCTTCTTGTCTCACAAATTGCGCACAGCGTTACATGGACTTGAGCATTCTTATCATGAAACGGTTTCAGAACATGCAATGAAGATCATTGGCCACTGATGTGCGTTCTCAATCTGATTCTCCAATTTTCGATGCCTATTATGTTTGATCATCAATGTTACTGTTTACCAAATTTTGGAATTAATTTCTGTTTTGTTGAGATTATTGCCTCAGGAATCAGGATATTCGTTTCTGGTATGTCTGAAGCTTTTGAAAACAGCCCTTCTTTAATATGATGGGTAACTAATAGGCTTGAAAGCAACTTAGCTGCATGTTCTTTAGTATATCTGAAAGTCTTAAAGATCATCAATGCTTCTATTTTGTTGGCCTGATTCATTCACAGAAGAGTCTATCTGTCATGTACTTGCAACTCATCATGGTTGTCAACTTGTCGCCACTCCTCGCGAGTCTTCCTAGGCTGGAGTGAGTTTCTCTGATTTGGTGCCCACTTGGGCCTTCATTTTGTTGTCTTCGATCTCGCCCAACCCACCTGCTGTCCGGCCAGGTTGGGCTGGGGCAGAGGGGTAGTGCCCAGTTGATTCTGAAATGGCAAATAAATATTACCTAAAAACTAATATATTTAATTACCTTCATTCTTATATTGTCCTTAAAAATATTATTATGATAAAATTCTTAAATAAAATTAAAGTATTTGAATCATGAAAAATCTTGATAATAATAATTATAAAATTATTTATTGTATGAGATATATAATAAAAAATAATCCCATAAAGCAGTTGATATTTTCTTAAGATAAGTTGGGCTGGCATTATGCCTGGGGTCTGGCCTGGCTTCTACAGGCCCAATTCAAGCTCAAATGGATCAAGTACAAAATTGAATTTTGTGTTTAGATTAATGGGTTAGGTGAATTTTGTTTGCATCTGGTTAGCTTGCTTGTGAATTGTGATTCTGCGGGAGTTCATGTTGACAACCGAGGAAGAAGAAGAACAAATTGATGGAGGGATATACTAGTTATTTTCATATTATTTTCATTTCAAATTATCATTCTTTTCCTTATATCATGCCAAACCAACTTCAACTTATTTCAATTTATTCTATTTCTCGTACTCGTATTGACAATCAAACGAGTTCTTAAATGTTAGCTTCTATCATTTTTTTTAATCTTAAAATTAAATAGATTGAACATGAAAATTATAAATTATTATAAAGGTGTGATTTGATATGTTTTAACATTTCATGAGGAAAAGCGGTGGGGCCTTTTTTGTGGAGCTATTTACGGCACAAAGTCAGTTTTCTTCCCCATTACCTGCATATATCCTCCTATTGGAGGTAATATACATCTCCCAATGAGAATTTAAATTTTAATTTATTACATTGTAAAGAAATGGCTTATTCTACTAAACGTACGACAGTAAATTCAGGTAAACATTGCTATTTATTCATATTGGTATTAATAAAAAATCAGTGCCAGCTATGAAAATTAATAATTTCTTAAAGAAGATATAGACAAAACTATTTCTACCACTATTTGCACGAGCCAACGTATGATCTTACTCCTAAAAATAAAAAAAGGGAAAAGAAACGAAAACGAAAAAAGAAAAAGAAAAGGAAAGGAAAAGGAAGAATGACGGTACCGTATCAATTTGGAACTATCACTTTCTGCAATTCCTTCTTTTCTTCCTTTATTGTACACACATTCTACTTTGAACGACTTAAGAGATCACCACTCATTAAATTCACAAAGCATCATATATTATCAACAAAGCATGATCCAATCACGTTTCAGATTTCACCAAAGGACAACTTTAATTTACCTTTATTCTTTATGGCATCACCTTATGCAGCCGCCTTTATTGAGATCCCACCTATGCTATTATAGATTCAAATTCACATGGTAATCGATGATATGCATGAGACCTTTTTCGAGATAATAAGAGGCATTAAGGCCTTCGCTTATGGCACCGTCTTTCATCATGAATTGCGGAGCCATTAATTATCTTATGGTTCTATAACCTTGCTAGATCAAGGACTGACCGAGCATCAGTGTGTTTCCGTGTTTGACAAATATATGTATGATATGTTTCATCAAGTCTAAAGGCAACCTTTTTATCGTGGAAATCTCCACTCTCCTTTCTGATTTCTGGCATTATGAAATTAATGTTTCACTTGACGACTACCTTGTCTCTATTTTCAGTTTTTCACTGCTTGTAATTTAATTTTTAGTGTGTGTGTGTGTGTGTATGTTAAGTTGTTTTTTCTAAAAAAAAAAACGACAAATAAATTAATAAAAAAGCAAAAACAAATATATTACTAGAAAAATAAAACTGACAAATAAATGTAGTTTTATATATATGAAGGGAAAATGTGTACTTTGATTTAATACGTAGAGTAGGGTGTGTAAGATCCATATATCTATCCATATTCCTTGGTATGATGTATTAATAATAATAAGGCACAATTTTGTCTATATAATGTATAATTAAGTTTGACATTTTATTTTATATAGATTTACATTGATTTTTTTATTTTTAAAAAAATATGAAGAGGATACAAAAGCAAAAATATTTCAATTAAAATTAACTTAATTATTGAATTTAAATAATAAACAAATAGATAAAATATAATGACTCATGTAACATTGGGTAAATTAGGTATAGTTTTATGTGGAAGGAAGGAGGCCTCTCAATCCTCTACAAGCACGCAAAGAAAGAGCCTTAGATATAGGCAAGAGAGGTTGGAAATTAAGAAATTGGGTAAGAAGAGAGGAACCTGGCCAAATCCTAAATCAAGGGAAGGAACCTTTTAATCAAAAAATGGCTAGGAGGGAGAAGAAATAAAAGAAATGTTAGTGCATAAAAGATATATCAAAGAAATCATAAGAGCACCATAAAAACAAAATCAAAGAGATTTGTAAGCACCCTTATCAACACTAATTCTTAGGGTGGACATCTAAAAATAATGAAGAAAAGGAGAAGAAGAAAAAAAATTTCAAAGAGAAAAGAGATATGTCACACACTCTCATTCCAGTTAGACTCACTCTTACACTTTTCTTTTGAGTTAACAAGCCTCATAACATATAAGAAATGTGGTATCAAAGCATTTTTCAACTCCAAGGCTTATCAAAATGGCATCAGAAGATCCCCTCATCCCTAATTGCTATGAATAGCTAAGATTTGGTGTTGAATATTTCGGTAGATGATATTGTTGTGTAAAGGCGTTATTTTATGTACCAAATAATCGAAATCTATTTCAAGACTTCATGCCTCTTTCATCATTGTTAAGGGGTTACTTATGTTCTGTTTATTTTTATTTATAAAATTTTATTTTAAAAAATAAATGATATCAGAGCATGGTCCAACAAATAAGAGAAAGTGACAGAGTTAGGTTAAACAAAAAAGATATAAATGGTATAACCCATCAACTCAAATTCCATTTATACACAAACTCTTGAAGTTTTAAATCTAATGAGATCTCTCTTTATATGATACTTTTTAAGGCTTCACAAGCTATAACATCCTAATTTTTAAATTATAAATTAATTATAAAAATTAAAGTTTTGATTGAGGATATAAAATTAGGATCGATATTATTTTGAGGTTTGTTTGGAAGAAATATGGATACTTAAGGATTTGTTTGGAAATTACCTGCCAAGTGGGATGAATTATGTATCTTTATATGTTATGTTCGAAATAAATCTTGTTCAAAAGTATGATGTTATTCGTTTGTGTTTTTGTTTAGTTTTGTTTGGAAATATGCATGATATGTTGAGATTTGTTTGGAAGATATTGTGTTGTTGGGAATTTTGTCTAGAATTATTTTTCTATAATATGGTAAGCCTTCATTAGATCTAATGAGTGGCTATTAGCTTGGACAAACCCATCTTTGGTTAGATGATTTGGTTCTAAGCATAGTGTTAAGAGGGATATAAGGTATTGTCATAATAAATACAATTTGTTTGGCTTTTGTTTGGATAATTGTTGTTTGAAATCATTATTGTATACCTCATTTAGCAATCGCATAGTTGGTTATATTATATGTTTTGTTGCATATTAGTTTTGATTATTGAAACCTTTATGTCTCATTTCCTATGGTTAATATTTTTATAAGAAAGAGTTCAACTAAAGAAGCACTGGAAGCATAGCTTGGTGTGAGTAGACACCATTAATCCTTGTTGGCCTCCTTTGTGTAATTGCCAACTTTAGAGCATTTGTTACATGAGTGGTATCAAAGTCTTATTTAACATATAAGAAAAAGTTGAAAACATGTTTATAGAATTAATAGTAGATATAGGTAGCATTTGTGAGTTTCATTTACAATGGAATGGAGGAGAGTAGGATGGTTAAAAGTTAGATACTATTATTTGGGAGAAATTTTTAAAAGAAGGTGGAATAGTTTAGGATAGCCTTCTAAGCCATTCTTAGCCATCCTAAACCTCTTTTTTTTTTTTTTTTAATCTCTCAATTTGAGGGGTTGAGGAAGGAACGGTCTAATATAAATAATATTATTACAAAATTATCCCTCATTTTTCTCACTCCTTCTCACTCTTCCACTTCCTTCTATCCTAAAATTGATAAAAATAATTATATCCAATTCAAATATATTAATTTTACAATTATTCTTAAATAATAATTAAATAAAATCATGTATTTCTCTATTAAAATTTCCAAATAATCAAATATTCCTTTTCGTTCCACCCTGTCCTTCTCCACTTGATTCCATTCCATTAATGATCATTTCTTTTTGTTCTATCATATGCTCTCAAATATATAACGCTCAATGAGTGGCACCAGGGTAGAATATAATATAACATACAGAGATAAATGAAAAGCTTGTTTGTATAATTAGTAATTGACTCACACATGATAATAAATTATTGGAAAACAAAAATATATCTATTTTGTGTTTTCTTTCAATGTCTTTTTATTATTTAGAAGTATAATTTTTAAGATCATATAACATTATTAACCATGAAGATAAATATAAAACAAAATAAAAAAATGACTTATCACTTTTGAATATATGGATGCAAATTGTTGGATATTGCTTTATACAATATAAAATCTAAAATATTTTAACTTGTATTTAAATAAGTTAATTTAAAATTTAGGATTACTTGAAGAATGTGGCTTAGCGCTGTTGATGCTCGGATTATTACAACATCTCTTTCGTTTGTAAGATAAAATTTAAAATTTATGCTCTTGCATTTCAGATAAATAATTAAAATATCTTGAATATTAATTATGACATGTGTGTTATATATAGTTATATAAGATATATTGATGTATTATTTATAATTATAGTATGTCTAATATTGGGGTATTGTTATTGATAATATCAAAAATCTATGGTTAAATATATCTTTAAAGATTTTAAAA